TTTCATTGTTACAAATTGAACATAATTAAAGCATAGTGATTAATCACAAAAACAATATGTAATTATGTATGTGTTTTCCGATGGTCTTAGGCGACCCCTGTGAAAGGGTGGTTCAACCCCCAAAGGGGTCGTGACCCACAGGTTGAGAACCGCTGGGTTAAAATAATAGCTAGCATCATTTAATAATGGCTAACAAAAATTGATCACTTGTGTGTACCAGGCATGCTGCCAAGTAATAGATGATTTAATGTAACTTCATATTCATAACAGCCCTATGAAATCAATGTTACTACTGTTACCATTTCCAAGGTAGGTTAATCGAAGTTTTATGGAGCTAAATAGTATCAGGAGTTTGAGGAGCTGGAACTGGAATGAAGGCCGAGTTTCCTGGCAAAGAGGCAATTGCAGCAAGATCTTTCTTAGAGGTCCCAGGTTTAGTTAGCGCCACTGCATTCTTGGTGCTTCTTCATGTGCTACAAGACACAAGGCCATGGGACTTTTCACTGAAACAAACAACCAAATCCCAAACTCTTACCTTCCGAGGAGAGATATTTTTATGACCACAAGGGAAATACATTTCCTGGGTTCTAGAAGACTTCATTTATTAACAGCATTTTGGGAAATCACTGTGTCAAATGTACTGTGAGATGCAATTGTGAGATGCCTTCCAATTTCAGAAATGTAAGCCTATAGGAACACATGCATCATAGGATGGTGGAAACTTTATGTCAACAGAAAGTATCTGACTGAGGCAGTGGTGGATGTGGGAGGGCAACTTTTAATCTCCATTTCTTAAAAAAATTATTTTATTGTTGAGAGTATTATAAATATGCCCATTTCTCCCCTTTTGCTCCCCTCCACCCATCTCCCATCCTACCCCAGGCCTTCACCGGTCTATTGTCTGTATCCAATGCATGTATGCTTATAAATTCTTTAGCTAACCTCTTTTAATCTCCATTTTGAGAGGACAGAACTGAACAAAGAGAGTGCCTAGTTAGGAACAGGTGTCTGGGTTTTGTTATAGTTGTGATTAATTTTTTTGAAGTTTGTAAAAGGTAAAATTAGAATATGTGAGTGTTTTGCTATGTTTTAATTTCCAAACAGCACTCCCCCTTGAAGGTCTTATTACCTTACATAATAAGAGGATGCTATTCACTGAAGGTGGGAAGGTTGTGTGTTTCAGAACTTCCTCCCTGAAAGGAAAGGGGGTAGGACTGGACTCCCTGCCAAGCTGCTTAGTGGGATTGGCCCCTCCATTGTACAGAGCCTTGTTTCCCTGGGGAAGATAGACTTGAAGATATTAATTCAAACGTTGTTATTGCCCTTTGCTTGCATCTTAGTGAGTAAAACATTAAAAAAGACAATACGGCTGGATCCTGTTCTGACCTTAATGCCTGTAGTTATAGGAGGATTCAGGGCTGTTTTGATTTGGTAATAGGAGCTCTGATTCTTGTTAGTCTCCCTAGGCTCAGGGCAACCTGTCAACCTTACGATTCTCCACTCTAGTTGTACGGTATGCATGAGGGGAGGAAACAGTGGCAGGAATGATGGCAAAATAACCTAGGCTACGTGATGCATTTGCACTGGCTGCCTTTGAGTGCAGGGTGCCCCCAGGTCCTGTGAGATCCCAGCTTGCAGTTCGGCTCCGGGGTCCATTCAGGCCCAGGGTAAGTGGGGGTGGACCTCTCAGACAGTGCTTCCTGACTTGGTTCCTGGCCCTGGTGGCAGTAGCATAGGAGGTTTATTTAAAGCTCCTTTCCTTGAGATTAAAGAGAACGTTTCTACTTACCTTCTTTTCTTTTAATTAATTTGTGTGTGTTTTTAGTCTGAGAGAGAGAGAGAGAGGGAACAGGTGACAAAAAAGTCGTTATCAGGTGTCCCTTCCCCACAATATTCCCTCCTCTCATTTTGATAATGTGATCACCCTGTGGGACGAAAAGATGAAAACTTTACTATTCTTACCTAAAAGAAACGAAACAGAGGAAGTTTAAAAAAACAAGAAGAAAAAGAAGAAATTATAACATCAGGCAGGTGAGTGGGTGGGGAGAGTTGTTTTGCTGTTCACTACAATACTGTACATTACTGATAGGAAAACAGTCCAGGCTTTGCGTTGCACCTGGTACCTCAGTAGACCTTTATATCCCATTTCTTTACCCATCCCCTCTCATCCTCCTACAGGGTATTATGGGCTATACTTCTCAAATTTTAATTTGCAGTAGAATTGTCTAGGGATCTGGCTAAAAAGCAGATTTTGAGCCGGTGGATCTGCTTTTCTAACAAGCTCCCAGGGGAAAGCCAGTACTGCTGATTCTTGGAGACCATCACACTTTGGGCTGAAGGGTGCGGAAGAATGAGCACAGGCATTGGAGTTAGCGGCCTTGGTTCAAATCCGAGTCCTGTCTTTATAGGCTGAGTGCTTGTGGGCGGGGTAAGCCTTTCCCCTTCCCTGTAAAATGAGATCGTCACAGCATGGGGTTGTTTTGAGGATTACATAAACTGAGGTATGTAGGCCACAGTCGAGATAGGCTCCTAGCAAGTGGACAATAAATGCTAATTACGCCCTGGGGGCGGGGTCAACGCGGGAGGGGCGGGGCTCTGTCAACTCTTGCGCACGCGCAGCCCCTAGTGCACGCGACTCAGGTAAGACAGCGGGGCGGGCACTAGTTCGGAGCTAGATTTGTGCTACCCAGAGCGGGAGTTCGGCAAGTCTGGGGGCGCCCTCGTTATGCTGAGGACACTGGGCTCATGCTGAGGACACTCGGGGCCATGTCTCCCCGCTCACGCCGCCGGACTGACCGAGTGTTTCCGGGTTGCCCGGCGACCTTGGCCCCAGGGCCGGGGCGGTGCAGGGAGGGCTGGAGT